AAAAAAAGAACAGAACAGCATCCCTGCCATGGTGCATTCATCTCAAGAAAGACATGCTGGAGTTACAGAAGAGGGAGGAGGGCAGCAAAGAGAAACAAACCAAAAATAAGTAAAAAAACTGGGAACTTGGAGAAAAGACGGGTGAGTGATACCTGCAATGAGCTCTACACCAAAGATACAGTGGGCTGTTGGCAGTAATTTAACAGAAGGCAAATAGCAGAAATTGAAGTAGGAGACCTGGAGGAGGAATTCCCTTGTCTTGTGCAATGTCCAGCAGCATACGCAGGAGGAAACAGATCATCAGGCTCATTTTCTTCCAAGGCAAGGTTGAGCAATCTCTAGGGACTGCTTCAACAGCCACCCTCATTTGGGCATGCACTAAGAATGGCACAATAAGTTTACCTACCAATAATAAATGCACACTGTATGAAAATACAATATAATTAAGTAAGAATGCCCTCCTGTGTAACATTTCATAATCCTCAATCACATTCCTTCTCAGCCCTCCAAGACTGATAGAAACTTTCAGACACACAGCTTTCTCAGAGATAATGACAAACACCTAAAAAATCCAGGCTGAGAGACAGGATACATCCAATCCTATCCCTATCCCAGAGATTCAAACAGACCTTCAGAGAAAGCCCTGAGATTCAAACAGACAAGAAAGATGTGTTACAGAGGAAGAAAAAATGTGTCCAAACTTCAAAAAGCTGATGAGATGAATTAAAATGGCAGCAGACATGCTTTCTTAGATTTCTTCTACCAACCAGATAGAGCAGGGGTGGGGGAGAAAGGACAGTGCATCTTCATTGTAGATACAGCAAAGAAAAAAATCAATTCAACTTTCCAGTAATTCAACCAATGCAGAGCTTCAGTACATTGTGGGGATGTACACACACAGATCTGGAAGCAGGCATTTGCAAATCGCAATCAGAGAATGCTCTAGGAAAACCACCAGTTTATCATAACTTACCTGGCTGATGATAATATTTTTGACAGTGTGACCCAGTTTCCAGTGACCCAATTCATGACCAAGTACAGCCAGAACTTCTTCATTTTTACATCCTTGTTTCTTATTCTGAAGAAGTAACAAAGCAGATGTACTATCAGGTATAAGAAAACACAAATAGATTTCTTACTTACTAGTTTAGTTCCTAGGTCTCTTAAGTTCCCTAGATCATGCTCTTTCCTTCTACCAAGAGAAATTCACACATAGTTTCTTACTGAGTCTTTTTCAAGAAAATACTTTCAAAAACTAAACTTTTGAGTTCAACAAGATTTCTACCACGAGGTGCTGTTCTCTTATTTCTATGTATTCAGACACACCTATGCAAACCTGGAAGAATGCTGGAAGATTTGCCTTCCAAACTTTCTCCTACTATCCCTTGATCTCATTCTATTTGTTTACTCAAAAAAAGACATTACAGTGACATTCAGACACTGAGAGCCACAGACTTGCAAAAGAGAACTGAGAGCAAAGTCCTCTTTCACATAGCAAAAGGACAAGGAGTAACGGCTTAAAACTTGAAGAGGGGAGATTTAGGTTAGACATTAAGAGGAGATTCTTAACTAGGAGGGTGGTGAGACCCTGGCCCAGGTTGCCCAGGGAAGCTGTGGCTGCCCCATCCCTGGAAACGTTCAAGGGCAGGTTCGATGGGGCTTGGAGCAACCTGGGCTGGTGGGAGGTGTCCCTGCCCATGCAGGAGGTTGGAACTAGATGATCTTTAAGGTCCCTTCCAACTGAAACCAGTCTGGGATACTGTGATAAAACTGATGGATATCTGTGCCTTCAAAGATACCATAGCAAGTCAGAAGCAAGCAAGTGGACTTTGGTAGTAAGAACTAGCTGAAGAACCTGTTAAAATTCAACAAATTATTCTCATGACTAGAGCAGGTGAGCTCAATATCCCCTCCTCTTCTGCAGTTTGCCACACCAGATTGTGGATGAAGAGAATTCCACCACCAACATGGTTTCAAGGAACAGAAGCTGGACTGAACAACAGTCTATACATTGGCTTAATCCTAGGCTGCACCAGGCAGTTCTTCCTTCTCAGAATTACTCCTTCAGGCTCTTCAGAAAGTATTCTATCAGTTTTCATAGAATAGTTTGGGTTGGAAGGGACCTTTAAAGCTCATCTAGTCTAGCCCACCTGCAGTGCACAGGGACCTTTTTAACTAGATCAGGTTACTCAGAGCCCCATCCAACCCGATTTCCCGTTTCCAGGAACAGGGCTTCTACCACCTCTCTGGACAACTTGCGTCAGTGTTTCACCAGCCTCACTGTAATTTTTTTTTCATAGAATCACAGAATTGTTCTGGTTGGAAAAGACCTTTAAGATCTGAGTCCAACCATTTTTCCTCATATCTAGTCTAAATCTCCCCTCTTTTCCTTTAAAACCATTACCCCATGTATTGCAACTGGTGCTGCTAAAACGTTCATCTACCATTTTTATAGGTCCCCTTTAAGTACTGAAAGGCCATAATTAGCTCTCCCAGGAGCCTTCTCTTCTCCAGGCTGAACAATCCCAGCTCTCTCAGCCTGTCTTCACAGGAGAGGTGCTCCAGCACTCTGATCACTTCTGTGGACCCACACCAACAGCTCCATGTCTGTGTTATGTTGGGAACTCCAGAACTGGACACATTTCTCCAGGTGAGGTCTCATGAGAGCAGAAGAGAGGGGCAGAGTCACCTCCCCTTGACCTGCTGGTCATGCTACTTTTGATGCAGCCCAGGACATAATTGGCTTTCTGGGCTGCAAGTGCACATTTTGTTTGCTCATGTCCCAGCTTTTGTCCACCAGTATACCCAAGTCCCTTTCCACAGGGCTGCTCTCCCCCTACCTGTACTGATCATGAGGACTGCCCCTGCCCAGGTGCAGGACCTTGCACTTGGCTTTATTGAACTTTACGAGGTTCACGTGGTCCCACTTTTAAACTTGTCCAGGTCTCTCTGCATGGCATCCCACCCCTCAGGCGTGCCAAACACACCACCCAGCTCGGTGTCATCTGCAAACCCACTGAGGGTGCCCTCGATCCCACCACCTGTGTCATTGATCAAGATATTAAGCAGCACTGGTCACAATATGGACCCCTGAGGTACAACACTTGTTACCAGTCTCTGTCTGGACATTAACCATTGACCAGCACCCTCTGGATGTGACCATCCAGCCAATTCCTTATCCACCAAACAGTCTACCCATCAAATCCATCTCTCTACAATTACAGAAAGAAGAATGTTGTGGGGGTCCACGTCAAAGTCCTCACAAGAAGTCCAGGTAAATTACATCCATAGCTCTTCCCTTGCCCATTGATGTAGTCACTCCATTATAGGTCACCAGGTTGGTCAGGCAGTACTTGGCCTTGGTGAAGCCAATGGTTTTAGCCATCCCTACACTCTCCTGAAGTCACAAAAGCCATTAGAGCAGACTCTTGATGTGCAGGTGCACATCAATGGAAGGGACAGTGAAAGGCCATCACCCTCGTCTTGACTCAAGCCAGAGTCAACTCAAGCCCAGGAAGTTCCACCTCCACATGAGGAAGAACTTCTTTCCTGTGAGGGTCACAGAGCCCTGGGACAGGCTGCCCACAGAGGCTGTGGAGTCTCCTTCTCTGGAGATTTTCAAGACCTGTCTGGATGCCTTTCTGAGTGACCTGCCCTAGTTTTTTTGGTCCTGCTCTGGCAGGGGGATTGGACTCTATGATCTTCCTACCCCCAACATTCTGTGATTCTGTGATCTGCATGTGTACACATGCATATGCCTCTTGCATCAAAATTCTTGCCTGTAGTAAAAGGTACAAATGACACACTGACAGTCTAAAGCACTGCCTTTGAAGGAAAGCTTTGGTGTGGCAGTCCCAACAGAGGGAACACAACTTCAAACCCTGAACAGGTCCTTTATTTAAACAATTACAAGGAATTTTGTACACGCAGGGAACCAATGTTTTGCTAAAGCCTCTGTGGATTTCTGTGGTCTACCTGGGGCGCTCTGCATCACTCACACAGGCCCAGCAATTCCTATTAGCAGCTCAGGGACATCATTAGGTGTTGAAATCATTAGGGTTTCGGTTTTAACATCTCTCTCAACATCTCTAATGTGCATTCAGAAAAAGCAAGAGAATATCTCACCATAAAGTTAATGTAAATAACACAATGAAAAACATTTAGGAACTCACTTTGGTTTTAGATTTTGTCTCTTCATTCTCACCATCTTCTCCTTCTGCTGGCTCTTTGTTCAATGCAGAATAATCTTCCAGGAGTGTATCAAAGAGTACTATCCTCTTATTTTTGAAGAATCCATAGAAATAAGCATTGCTGTGAGAAGAACGCTTTGAACCTGATATGAAAAAAAGACCATAAGCTGAGTAATCCCATGCACTGAAGACTATGGAACATTATATAGAATGGATTACTCCAAAGGAATGCTTTAAGTCCCAAAAGGAATGATAGACAAACTAAATAAAATTAGTTTGCAGCTTGAAGTGCATCTTAAAATTAGCCAAGTAATAATTATCTCATTTACTAATTCTGCTAGAGAAACCATTTTCTTCATCTGTAACCTGTCATCACTAAAATGACTAAAAACACAAAAGCAGTCATGTGAAGACCTAATATCTAGAGGAAAAGCAGTTTTTATTTGAATTTCAGGTTCAGAGTGGAAAGAATGTTCTGCATAAAACATGTGCTGCCCTTATGGCAAAGGACTTGTGTCTACTACATCTAGATTTCTTTCAATGTGCCAGCAAGATCATTTGAAACGGATCTGGATGAAGATGTTCAAAAAAAGAAAAGATGAACTACAGATATCAAACAGTCCCTCAAAAATATTTTTTACTGAAATAGGCAATTTTTTACTGCTACTTTTATCTAGATACAGTGATTCATGGACTGTTTCTACTATCAAAATACTTGGGGCCAAGAAACATGGGCTGTTTCACGTGATTAAAAAGTTACCTGGATCAAAGCAGCTGTTAAAACTGTTGCCCCATCAGGACTGAAAGAGATGTCTATGAGAGAAGGGGTGGACTGCTCTGATTTTTGCAGCAAAATCTGAGATACTTCAAGTTGAAGGTGTTTGCTTTCAACTCTCACTATAAACGTTTGAGCTGCATAAACTCCTTAGAACACAAAATGACCATTGTTCCATTGCAAGCCAACCCATGGTGTGGTCATGGCAACCTTCAGCACCAAGCCAACACAGAACAACAGGAAGAGAGGCCAGTCAAGAGTCAGCATCCAGTCCCTTCTCAGTGAAGAAATTTGAACAGTGACAGGGCAGCAATGTTCTCTTTCATCTGTGTATCAAAAAACTTTCTCCTCCACCAAGTGTTGGTAAAGAATTTGCCTGTTACAGAATGAACCATGAAAGTTGCAGAGGTCACTTCTGGAGTGGAAAGAGCCAAGACAGTGCAGAAAAACACTGGCAAAGAGATGAGTTTCTTGGGCCCCAGGTGTATCCATAGTAGTAGTTTCTGCCTATGCTGAGGCAGAGCACTGGCTGGATTTTGCCAGTCCAAAGTTTTGAAAGCGACAGCTTCCACGCTAGATAAAGCCTTCATCACCCTCTCTTACAGGAAAATTCTGCCATTTCAGCTCTTCATATCATCTCATACTTGTTTTCACCAAGGCGATAAAAACACCCCTGATCCTCACAGATGGGTCACAAAAACAAAACAAAATTTGAGAAAGTTCCTGACATTAATTCAGAAGGAAGCAAAATGAATAACAGAGGAAAAGTCAAGCAGTAAAGTGCTCCATGAACATGAAGTGCCGAGGAGGTGACATGGTAGCTACCATGCTTCATGTTACATCCCATGACCTAAGAAAAGAGGATGATAAATTCTTTACTAGAAACTGAAAAAATTACAGCCCAAGTATAATGTATGAGACCATCCAGCCATACTCTAAGAAACAGATCATGTCAGCAATTTAAGGAGGAATAGGTGTTTTTACCTTCCATAGCTTTTTAAACTGTTTCACCAAGAACTTTAAGAAAATTAATGTTAAACTGAGACTAGAAAAGATAAATAAACCCTTTTCTGTCTGGTTTAAATTTCTAAAATTGGAACCTTGATTGTTGCTTCCATTACTGACTATCACATGTAGTTCCATTCCACAGAGCCAAGGCAATGCTAAGGAGATGCTGAATTAACACTGTAAATTCAGCTTCACTTGTGCCTCAAGGCACAAGTTACAAGTTTTACAATAGCTGAGGAATATAAGCAACTGCCCTACTACAGCATCCACAACCAAAGCTAAAAATCCACAAATTCAAACTTACAATATTTTTATTGAAAAAAAAAAATCTCACCTTCAACAACATACACCTTAGTCAATGGGAAGTCAATGCTCTTTGCCATTATTTCAATTTGTTGCTTGAGCTCTCCCTCAGGAAGCGGAATGAATTTATCAAACAAAGGTGCAATATAGTCTGCATAGATTGTAACAAGCACCTGCAAACACATGGATTAAAAACAGGGCATATGAATGTGTGCTTAGTACTAAAGGTCGAGTATGATTAAGTACAAAAAAGGGCACAATTTCAGAAAAAAAATACTTGATAAAGAGTCCTGTATGAAGTGTGATCTGTAGCCAAGCTCTCTGTGGGTCATCTCATCTACTAAGACAACTGCTTAATCTGTTGACAGTCAGCAATTCAACAGCTGCTGGCAGTTGTCCCTGTGCCCTTTCTATATTTAAGAAAAATAAAAACCTGTCACCACATAGTGCTGTATTTCCAGTGTCTATTCTTAAGCTTATTGAATGTTTATTTTTCAATTGATGAAGATAATCCCATATTAAACTGTCAAAATACAATATATCACACTAAACTGGGCAATTAATATGAGCTAATAATTCCTGAATAAGTACACTAAGAAAAAAGCACACTGTTGACGTTTGTAGACTCAAATTCTCAGGAGATTTAGATCTTTCTTCATTTTCTTCCAGTTATGTTTTTGAACATCAGCACACTGAGCCATGCAACTAAGCTAATATTTGGAAGAAACCCAAGCATATTCTCATACTCACCAGGGAAACAACTAATGTGAAGAGCCAGGCATAGATGAAGAAGTAGTCTCCCCCTATTTTAATAATGTAAAGCAGAAGGGATGTCACTGGCAACAGAATACACTGAGTCACGATAAACTTCTTGAAAGCATCCTTAAAAAAAAATCCCAGTGTCTGGAAAGAAAGGATATCAGTGATATTTTCAGTATAAATACTGATGTGACACAGTGGTTAATGAACTGATCCCTTCAGTGGGTGCACAGGAAAAAATAAGACAAACAGCAAAACGGCCATACCAATGTGCTAGGGGAATCAGAGGCAGTTAAGAAAAGGTGTAAGAACCTTTTCACCTTCTCTTCTTGTAGCTGTGGCTCTCTACATCCACACAGAATCCAAGCCCATGCAGATGCATTCTTCTTCAGGAAGATCCAACCCAAACCCTTATTTGGTGTTGCACACACATACTTAATTAAAGAAGGAAAGAAAAATTTAAGCTTATCTGTCCCTTAACTCCTTTACAAATCTGTATCCTAGACATTATGCAATTTGTAGCTAATAGAAAACTCTTAAAGAAACCTACCTACTGAACACTTGCCTCCATTCACCTTAACTTTCAGTTATGACTAAGCTTGTTGTCTTAACTAGAAATATACAGAAGTTCTTTTAAAAATTTTTAGACATATATTGGGCATTTTACTCCAAGCTTCCACTGACATGCAGTTACTACTCATGTAGTTGTCTCAGGTTTTAAAATTAGCACATATTTAATAACAGCAACAGATATTTCAAAGACTTCTACCTGAATGAATCTGATCTAGTGATTCTGCAACACGATTACAGAAGTTCTACCTCAACATGAGGAAGAACTTCTTTCCTGTGAGGGTGACAGAGCCCTGGGACAGGCTGCTCAGAGAGGCTGTGGAGTCTCCTTCTCTGGAGACTTTCAAGACCTGTCTGGATGCCTTTCTGAGTGACCTGCCCTAGTTTAGGTCCTGCTCTGGCAGGGGGATTGGACTCAATGACCTTTGGAGGTCCCTTCCAACCCCCAATGGTCTGTGATTACACGCCTAACTAGTTCTTTCAGGAGTTGTTACTTCAGGCCTTGGAGCTAACTGCAAGGCACAGAGGTGAGTGGGTTATTAGGTAAAGATCTTTTGAAACAAAATTATATTAAAAAGCCCATGCTACACTAAAGATATGGAACTCATCTGAAAGAAAAATAATACTGGTGAAACAGATTCAAATAACAACTAAGATTTGGGGCAAGAATTTGGATAGATGCCTCAGATATCCATGACTATCAGAAACACAAATCAGACACAATTTAAGACACAGTTTTAGACCATTCTTTATCAGAGAATCACAGAATTGTCACGATTGGAAAAGACCTCTAAGATCACCCACTCAAGTATGTCTTGAAGTCCCTCATCTACACGGTTTTTGAACACCTCCAGGGATGGTGACTGCACCACCTCCCTGGGCTGCCTGTTGCACTGTCCAACCACTCTTTCAGTAAAGAAATTCTTCCTAATATCCAATCTAAACTTCCCCTGGTGTAACTTCAGACTATTTTCTCTGTCCTATCGTTATTTACTTGAGAGAAGAGGCCACAATCCACCTCCTACAACCTCCTTTCAGGCAGCTGTAGACAGCAATGAGGTCTTCCCAGTTCCCTCAGCCTCTTCTCACAGGACTTGTTCTCCAGCCCCTTCTTCAGCTTGGTTGCTCTTCTCTGAACTCACTCTAACAATTCAATGTCTTTCTTGTAGTAAGGGGCCCAGAACTGAACACAGAACTCAAGGTGCAGGGGACTCCTGTACAGGGCCAGGATCACCTCCTTTTCCTGCTGGTCACACCATTCCTGATGCAGACCAGGATGCCATTGGCCTTCTTGGCCACCTGGGCCCACAGTGACTCATGTTGAGCTGGATGTCGACCAACACCCCCAAGTCCTTTTCTGCCAGGCAGCTTTCCAGCCACTCTGCCCCATGCCTGGAGCATTGCCTGGGGTTGTTGTGATCAAAATGCAGGACCTTGTTAAAAGTCCTACAATTTGCCTCAGCCCATTGATTCAACCTGTCCAGATCCCTCTGCAGAGCCTTCCTACCCTGGAACAGATCAACAGTCCCACCCACTTTGTGTCATCTGCAAACTTGATGATGATTAGCCCTCAATTCCCTCATCTAGATTGTTGATAAATATATTGAACAAGACTGACTGTGCTACACTTGCTATGTGAATGCACTGAAGATGAACTGCTCCATAATTTTACCAGGTCAGGCTGACAGGTCTGTAGTTCCCTGGATCCTCCTTCCAGCCCTTCTTGTAGATGGTCATCACATTAACCAGCCTCCTGCCATCTGGGTCAACCCTGTTGACCAGGATTGTTGATAACTGATGGAGAGAGGCTTGGTGAGCTCCCCCACCAGCTCCCTCAGCACTACAGGGTGGATCCCATCCTGCCCTATAGACACTTGTGAGTGTTCAGGTGCAGAAGCAGATCATTAACTACTTCCTCCCAGATCATGGTGGGCTGTTCTCCTCTCCATCCTTATCTTCCAGCTCAGAGGGCTGAAATTTTGGGGGAAGCTGCTCTGACTACAAAAGATGGAGGTGAAGGCAGCATTAAGTATCTCATCCTTGATGGCAATGTTCCCCCCACATCCAGCAAGGGATGGAGATTCTCCCTGATTCTCTTTTTATTGTTAATGTATTTGTAAAATCTTTTTTCTTGTCTCTTTTGTCAGTGGCCAGACAGAGCTCCTGCTGGGCTTCTGCCATTCTAATTTTTTATCTGCATGACGTAACGAGATCCCTGTATTCATCCTGAGATGCCTGCCCCTTCCTCTGAAGGACTTAAACTCTCCTTTTTTTCCTGAGTCCCAGCAAAACCTCCCTGTTCAGCCAGGCCAGTCAACTTCCCTGCCACCTTACAGTGCACGAGGGCAGCTGCTCCTTCTTGTAGAGCGTCCAGCCTTCCTGGACCCCTTTGCTCTTCAGGACTGCCCCCCAAGGGACTCTCTCAACTAAGGTCCTGAACGGGCCAAAGTCCACCCTCCAAAGCCCAAGGCAGAAGTTCTGCTACACTCCCTCCTTACCTCAGTAAGGATTGAGAACTTAACCATTTCATGGTCACTAAGCCAAACACAGCCTCCAACCTCCACATCTCACCAATCCTCCCTGATTGTGAACAGCAGATCTAGCGATGCATCTTCTCTGGCAGGCTCACTTAGCAGCTGTGTTACACTCGAGGAACCTCCAAGCCTGTCTCCCTCTGCTTTGTTATATTTCTAGCAGACGCCTTATAGGTTGAAATCCCCCACCAGAAAAATGGCTGGTGACTCTGAGACCTCTGCCAGCCACTTGTAGAATGCTTCTTCTGCCTCCTCATCCTGGTTGGGTGGCCTATAAGAGACACCCAACAGAGTATCTGCCTTATTTGCTTTCCCTCTCATCCTTACCCACAAAACACTCAACCTTCTCATTGCTATCATCAAGCTCTATACAATCAAGACACTTCCTAAAATATAGAGCCCCCCCATTGCCTCTCCTTCCCTGTCTACCTTTCTGAAGAGCTTTTAGCCATCCCTTGCAACATTACAGTCATGTGAGTCACCCCACCATGTTTCTGTGAAGGTGGCTATGTCACAGCTGTTCTGCTGCACAGTGGCTTCCAGCTCCCTGTTTGTTGCCCGTGCTGCGTGCACTGGTGTAGATGCACTTGAGCTGGGCTGTTGGTTCTACTCCTAACATTGCCATGCCACCCTTAGGCTCATCTCTAGTTGGCCTGGTTTTATCCTCTTCCTTCATTAAACCTAGTCTAAAGCTCTCTTGATGAGCCCTGCCAATTCCTGGCCAAAAATCCTTTTCCCCCTTGTGCAGAGTTCCACTCCATCCCTCACCAGCAGCCCAGGTGCCATGTAAACATCCCAGTGATGCAAGAACCCAAAATTAAACCAAGCTCCATTCATTCCATTAAGCTCCATTCTTCCCTGGTTGCCTCCAGTGAGGGGCAGGTACCCCCACAAGGGTGACATCAACTGGCACTGAAGCAGAACACCCACTCTTGAGAAAGACATCACATACTTGAGATAAATAGCTGTGCAAGAGCTGATCTATGATAAAGATGGACTTACAGATCCTGATTATGTTCTGTGTGACACACATGTTCTGGAGGTTTGCTCAGGCTGTACCAGCAGCTCATGCCCAGATATTCTCCTTCATGGGATGCTTTGACAATGACAGAATACCAACTGTGCATGAGGTGGCTTTCAGAGCACGACAGTATGGAGACATAATCTCTGATTACCATCAGTTCCACAGCTCAGCCATTGAACGAATGACTGACAGAATAGATAAGATGACAAACAGATGAGGAGGTAAACCCCAGAATCTCCCTAAAGACACCTGGTCACGTGTTGCAGCTGTTAAGAGGGGACGTCCTGCTACAAGACAGCAGCAAGAGAGACAGGACCCACTGCGACGCCATAACCTCAGCCTTCACTTCTTGGCTTGAAGACCACTGTGGTGGGAAAAAACCTTGTAAAGACATCCTGCAGGTCTTTTCCAGCCTTGGTGATTCTGTGATTGTGTCAGTGCCAGGGTCCTCGGTTTCTCATCTGATTAGGCACAACACTTGCACTGACAACACTGAAACAACTAGAAAGCAGAGCTCCAGGGAGAAAATGTTCAGAGGATATATCCAGAGTCCTCCTTACCCTCCCTGAAGCATACAAATGGATTCTGCAAGTCCTGAAGCCAGTTTTAAAGAAGCCCAAGCTGCTAGGTTCAGTATGTGACTCTCTGCTGCTGCACTAGCAGTAGGACCTGATCAAGTCCAGCTCTCCATCCATCAGCGAGTCTGCTAGTTGGCTTTAACTGTAGTGATTTACAAGTCCCAACACTGACAGTCTTTGGACATGTGTGTCCTGGACATAAAGGGCTTGCAGATCTGGGAAAAAGATGGAGCCCACTCCTCACTAAGGTAGGAGAGACAATCAAGGTGCAGACCTGATGCAACTACTCAGGATTGACGCAAGAGACAACAGTGGCTTTTGATGCATATTTAAGGATTCTGAATGGCAAAAGGATGTCTAGGCTAAGCCAGGGCATAAACAGATTCCAAGTTAGGACTTTGCCAGTGCTTACAATTTTTGGGGACTACAGAACAGAAGTGATAGCCAGCGAAGAAGCAAAATACATCAAATAGGTTATTTTCTATGAAGAAAAGATTGCTTTACTCATACTCTGGAAAAACAGGAACATTCCTTCCTCCCTTGAGGGAACAGGATGTCAGCCTGACAGTAAGCTCACTGTAAAGTCTGCAGAAAGAAAGAGGATCTCCAGGACTATGTCTCCAAGTCACCTAGGATATGAAGGCCATGTGCACCATCATTCTGATAGTGAGAACTTGCTGGTGAGAGGAAAAAGTGATTGTTAGAAGTTACACATTCAGTTTTAGAAGCACAAGGTCTTTTTCTAAGACTAAAGAGCTAAATGGAGTATAAAAAGAGTTCCAAGTTGGTCACTAACTCCAGGCTGATAACTAAGTAGAATGATCTTCAGATCTGCTTCCCAAAGACTGGAACAGGAGTTGCCAGTGGCACAGTATCCAAACCCTGGAGGTGGGAGAAGTGGGGAGAGCAAATAACCCTTGCAGTTTCTGGGAATACACACAGGCAAAACTGTGCATTGAAAATGTTCCTAGTTGGGCTTCCCTGGAAAAAAAATAGTATGCCACTCAGTAGTTCTCATGAACCAAAATAATACAGGATGTGTCAGGATCTCTGCTCTTCCATTTCAAAGATGATTGAGAGGGTGCCAACTTGATAATTGCATTTAGAGCTTTTTTTCTTTTTCCTCAATTCTTTTCTTACTTGTTTTATAAAAAGGAATAGGAAACACCCACTTATCCATTTACCAGGAATGAGTTCAGAAACAAAGTGATTCCACTTCTTCAGGTCGAGCTCAGTCTTCCTGCCTCCATAGAAACTGGAAGATGAAACTGGCAAATACTAGAGCATCTCTACCCTTATTAAAATGAGCCAAATAGATTTATCCCACATCTGCAACCCATCCAAATTATACTGTACCGTAAAAAAACCCTGACTTCCTAGTAGACCTGAAACAGAAAGTACTGTAGACAACACTAGCTGGGTCCAAAAGCAGACAAGTGGCATGAAATAGCTAATTATGTCCTCCAGATTGAGCTTCCTCTCCCAAAAAGATACTGAAACAAGTTAAACTAAGTTGGTGAGGGAAATTAAGAAAACCAGGGCTGATATTAAGTGAGTACTTAAGAGAAGTACAAATGAAGATATGAATTCTGTAATTTAATAAAGACTGACACAAGAAATCAATAAGTCACACAAAATGAAGAAGAAAGTAATTTCTTGGCTTTGTTTCATTTCTTGGCTTATTATCCATTAATCAGAACTGCCCCTGCAAAGCAGTGATCCAGACTTCTGAGGAAGGGCATATGAAGGTCTAAGAATAGCCCATCCAAAAATTATCAGCTCTGGCACAAAATGTTCTTTAATCCAGCACTAGAACACACACTTCTCTGCTAAGAGGCAGGGACTCACAGAGACACTGTAGTGTAGCATAGGTACTTCTGCAATAGTCACAAATTATCATTGCTCTTATTTTTATGCAGTGAGAGTAGAAATATTCCTAAAACTAGTGATCTTTAGCACAGATGTTGTCCTGGCTCAAACCAGAAGCAATTTTTTCGTAGTGACTTTACTCTTCAGTAAAGTCTCTTCTAAGTAGCTCCGCTTGCTGAAATTAACAGCATGTTTTTCAGTGTCTGCTTCTAGAACAGCAGTAATGGAGTAATGTTTATATTTACTGCATGCTCCTTATGCTCTAGAAAAAAAAGGGAGTGAAGGGGTCACCGCTGTGATCCTCCTGCAAGAAGTGGGATCCACACACCTCATACTCAGGATAAATCTGAGGGATCACAAGGGTCAGGGTCTCTTCAGCCACGGCTGGTGTCCTGGGAGGACTCTGTTCCTCTGCCTTTTATCTCAACCTGTGTGTTCCTGCACCCAGCTCCCATCTGCCACTCTACTCCAGAAGCCCAGCCTGGAACTTCCCCAAGGCCAGCCCTGCAGCTCCAGTGGTGACATCAGCTTTATGGGGAAGCAGTGATAGTGGGTTTGTGTGTATTTATTTCTACATATTTCATTATGTTCCTTTCCATCACTGCTGTTCCATTAAAGCTGTGCAGTTCAGTTTCCAACCTGTTCATCTCTCTCCCTCATTCTCTCTGTTCCCTACAGGGGAAGGCAGAGGGGTTCCCAGAGCACCTGCCAGGCCTTTAACTGCTAACCCAGCCTTCAACATGACATCAGACCAGTCTATTTAACCAACCAAACCTACTTGAGATGTTAGGTCAGTGCAAGTGCTATCTGCAGTACCTGTTGATTGAAGCCATGTTTCTCTTCTATGACAAATGTGTTATATAAACTCCACGGGAGGCCAGTCACTGCACTGAAGAGTGTTGCAAGCAGCAGAAATACCAATGACTGAAGAATCTAAAAAAATTAAATGCATAAATAAATAAATAAAATCTGATATTTACTGACCTGTACTAGCCTTAATGGATGTTAAAAATAGATGTCAGTGGTTTAACTGAAACTGGTCAGAGAATGAAGATAGATAAATTCACAGAAATCATTACCTTACCAATCCCTGGTACAGACTAGTGTGTTAGAGAAAGAAAAAAAATAGATTTAAATAAAAAAATAAGGATTTGGGACAAGAATTTGGATAGATATGAAAAAGCCACTCAAAACCCCACCCCCGCATTTGACCCCAGTAGCTTTATGACATGTATGTTTTAACATAGAAAGCTACTTTGATTAGGAAGCTAATTGAGAAGTCACATACTGTCAACAGTTCTCAGACTCGCCCCATCACTGTGTTCACCAGCAAATATGGTATTTTTACTAGATGGCACCTGTAGCTAAAAACAACTTTAAGTATATGCAAGTTTAAAAATAAAAGTGATTATTAACAGCATAGCTCATTGACCAAACTTCTTCACTAAAAGTTCAAGGCTGCTTACCTCATACTCTGGTCCAAACCCAGCACGACCAGACATCTGACCAGAAAGATTCCAGAGAAAAGGAATTCCTCCACAGAGAAGAATCATCTTGAAAACAAAAACACAAACCACAGAGGCAATATGAAACAAGCTTTATTTTTTTTCTATCAAAATTTCAGCATCATAAGGACCTTTAAAGGATCAATAATACAAGTTTTATTATTAGACTTTTTGTCCCCCTCTGACCTTACCAGTGCATAAAGAAAGCCTGGAATATTCAGCAACGGTTCATTTTTACTTTAGAGATCAAGTTAAACTTGCCCTTTTTTTCCCCCCCCCGAGAAATACTATTGTATTTCCAAGCCTATGTACTATAGACTTAGCTGCTATATTGGCTATAAGGTATAGTTTTCAGAAGACCTTAAAACCCATTTGCTCCATGGATGTGTTACATACCATCTCTAGGAGGAGACCAAGATTGAGCAACGTAACTGACCTGGGACAGTCTGGCCTGCATCACCCACTCAGAGAAAGGCTTTCAGAACCAGGCCATCACTTTAGTTTCAGTATCAGTGCTGCTTCAAGCACTTTAAGAGAGCTCCATGCTCTCCTCCTTGTGCCTGCCTTGCAGTGCTTTCTGTGATACAGGCTGCCAAGGAAGAGGGAGTGGACTACTTGGGGCACACCATCATCAAAGAAATGCTTGAGACATTGCTACTGAAGCAAGTGCTCAAGGAAGGGGCTGGTAGTGTTTGTTAAGCACCTTGACTTCCAAATGTTTCACATTTACTTTCTTAGCAAGTGATGCATCACTGTATATATAAAAATCCATGTTCAGCCTTCCAGCACGGACAGTATTTTATTTACTTATTTATTTTTAAAAGGCTTACTCTTATAACCTAACTATGAGGGTGCATTCTGAGTGTTAGGAGGAGATACAAAGGATCAAATCAAGCCTGTTTCTCCTTTGCAGGCTACCTTTAAGTTTCGGAGCTGGAAATCCCAGAAGTACCAATCACTGAACAAAGACAGTTATTAGCATGATGCTGATACTACTTATTAGTTAAAAAGATACCTACATAATTAATGGCTAAATAAATCAAAGCATATTAGTAGTTCTAACACAGCATCTCCCCTTCAATTAACTTGCTAGATTAATGAATCATACTTCTACCTATTAAAAGCAAAATGTTGCAAAACCATCATTCAATTTAATCACCTTTGGCCACAATAGCTTCTTTCAAGTTTGGGCAGTTCCCAAAGTAAAAAAATGATGCTGTTTACTCTCTAAGGAGGTGGAAAACTCAGTCAGACGCTACCTCACTTTAGCTCTGCTGGAATCTGATAATCCCAGGACAGATTCTGAGAAACAGAAAGAGACAGCTCAACATCACAGAAAGGAGCAATAACTCATCATCACATACATGCAAGAAGCTGTATCAGGGAATCAGCTTGATTGTAGAATACAAATTATAGAATCATTTAGGCTAGAGAAGACCCTTAACATCATCAAGTCCAACATGAACCTAACATAACCAAGTCTACCACCAAAGCATGTCTCAGCACCACACCTGCACAGCTTTCAAATCCCTCCAGGGATGGGGACTCTACCACTCTACCACTTCCCTGGGCAGCTCTTTCCAGTGACTAACAAGCATTTCAGTGAAATTTTTCCTAGCATCCAACCTAAGCCTCCCCTGGCACAACTTGAGGCCATTTCCCCTTGTCTTATCATTTCTTAACTGGGAAAAAAGACTTTTGAATGGGGCAGGGGCAAGTGAAACCTGCTGTGCTGGTTTGGTTTGGGGAAAGGGCCCCAGGGGTAGCTCGGTAAGTAAAAAGCTAAGAAGCTCCTCCTGCTCCAAAACCAGCCAAGGAGCCATTAGAGAGACAACAGATGCAACTCTGCCTATAACATATGAAAGAATCAAGATAAGAGCCCTACTGGAGAGGTGAAAGGCAGTGCTGGGGTGAAGATCCTGATGGTTGATGAGGAAGAGGGGGAAGAAGGTGCCTAAGCAGAAGTTTCCCTGCAACCCACAGCGTGATGGCAGCTGTGTCCCTGCACTCATGGAGGAATGTGGTGGAATATTCCCTGAAGGCACCATGAAGGATGATCTTGGCCAGTGGACTTGAATTTTGTGGCCAGTGGACTTGGATAATGCAGCTGTGGAAGCCCCTGGGCCGGGGGAGCCCAGCCCCTGTTCCCAAAGCCCCTGTGACTCTGTGGGCAGCACTGGACCCGCTCCAGACCTGGTAGGAAGATCTCATGGAGGAGAGGTTCATGGAGGACTCTCTCCTATGGGAGGGAATCCATGGGGAAGCAGGGGAGGACTGTGAGGAATCTGTCTTCCTGAGTAGGAAGGAGTAGGAGGAACCACCAGCCTGTGAAGTGACTCTAAACCCCATCCCCCTGTGCCACTGAGGAGGAGGGAGAGAAATTGGGAACAAAGGGATTTGGGCCCGGGAAGAAAGGAGGGGTAACATGTGTAAGCCCTGCTCTGCATGTGTCTGTGTCCTGTGTGCATTTAATTAGTGTGAAATTAAATTATAATTTTTCCCCTAAGTTGAGTCTGTTTTGCCCAGAACCTTAATTGGTAAAGAACCCTTCTTGTCCTTTGTCTCGACCCATGAGCTTTGTTGTTGTGCTGGGCCCAAACCACCACATCTGTAGGCCAAAGGTGTGCCCAGGACCTCTTGCAGCTGGTGGCCAAGCTGCAGAAAATGATGAAAAGACTGCATAGCATCAGAGAGGCAGAAAAGGAGATACATGGCTGGATCCAGGTCCAGACTGCAGTGAACTCACAGCCTATGGCCACAAAGCCAATAACTCCCCCACTAGCACACACAGAAAGGAGGGAAGTCATTAATGAAGAGGAATGGACAACTTTGAAGGTAAAAACCAGCAGGAGGAAGAGACCTCCCTCAAAGCCTGAGGTAGCCCTGCAGAACCACTTCACAGTGGAGCCAAGTAAGGCAGCTTGATCAGCTCAACGCCTATCAACCAGCACAAACAAGGAGAAGAGATGGACCATAGTAGTAGGAGACTCTCTTCTGAAAGGTACAGAGGCACCCATTTGCCAATCTGATCCTCTCTCTGCAGAGTTCTGCTGCTTACCAGGGACTTTTATCAGGGATGTCACCACAAGACTACCAAAACTTGTACCTCCCACTTCTAACTGCTCAGGACCCACCTGTCAAGCCTGTCCAGGTCCCTCTGGTTGGTCTTCCTCCTCTCCAGTGTGTCAACCACACCACACAGCTTGGTGTCAGCAGCAAACTTGCTGAGGACACACTCAATCCCACTGTCCATGTCCCCAACAAAGATGTTAAACATCATCTGTCCCAGTACCGACCTTGAGGAACACCACTGGTTTCCACTTGGACATTAAGCCATTGGATGTAACTGCTTGGACACACACATCCAACCAGACCAATGATTTTAAAAAAAATAAATCAGTAAAAAGAAACATGTGTCTGTGTCCTGTGTGCATTTAATTAGTGTGAAATTAAATTATAATTTTTCCCCTAAGTTGAGTCTGTTTTGCCCAGAACCTTAATTGGTAAAGAACCCTTCTTGTCCTTTGTCTCGACCCATGAGCTTTGTTGTTGTGCTGGGCCCAAACCACCACATCTGTAGGCCAAAGGTGTGCCCAGGACCTCTTGCAGCTGGTGGCCAAGCTGCAGAAAATGATGAAAAGACTGCATAGCATCAGAGAGGCAGAAAAGGAGATACATGGCTGGATCCAGGTCCAGACTGCAGTGAACTCACAGCCTATGGCCACAAAGCCAATAACTCCCCCACTAGCACACACAGAAAGGAGGGAAGTCATTAATGAAGAGGAATGGACAACTTTGAAGGTAAAAACCAGCAGGAGGAAGAGACCTCCCTCAAAGCCTGAGGTAGCCCTGCAGAACCACTTCACAGTGGAGCCAAGTAAGGCAGCTTGATCAGCTCAACGCCTATCAACCAGCACAAACAAGGAGAAGAGATGGACCATAGTAGTAGGAGACTCTCTTCTGAAAGGTACAGAGGCACCCATTTGCCAATCTGATCCTCTCTCTGCAGAGTTCTGCTGCTTACCAGGGACTTTTATCAGGGATGTCACCACAAGACTACCAAAACTTGTACCTCCCACTTCTAACTGCTCAGGACCCACCTGTCAAGCCTGTCCAGGTCCCTCTGGTTGGTCTTCCTCCTCTCCAGTGTGTCAACCACACCACACAGCTTGGTGTCAGCAGCAAACTTGCTGAGGACACACTCAATCCCACTGTCCATGTCCCCAACAAAGATGTTAAACATCATCTGTCCCAGTACCGACCTTGAGGAACACCACTGGTTTCCACTTGGACATTAAGCCATTGGATGTAACTGCTTGGACACACACATCCAACCAGACCAATGATTTTTAAAAAAATAAATCAGTAAAAAGAAAATTGGCTTAATCCTGGCTCAAACCAGGACACGATCTATCTGTCACCCATACCTCTCCAATTTAGCAGGTAGATTATTGTGGGGGACTATAAAAGTAGCAGGCCTGGATGAAGATAAACACAGATTGCTGATACGGCTCTTTACTCAGCAGGGTGCTAAATTCAGTGGCAAAACAGGCTCATCCCAATCATGTATATTTTCCTTAATGAAAAAAAGGGAAGCTGCTTTGGCTAAAAGTCTTGAAATCAATATAAAGCTTTTTTTACTTTTTTTTTCTAATCACTACAGAGCATTTTGACTTAACTGCACTTGCTAGATTGTACCATCTCTGCCTGTCCATTAATCTACTGCTGGAGGCTCTCTTCATGTTTCAAATGAAGCATTGCCTCTACAGTTGGTCAAAAACATAAAAGCTTTTCCAACGACACATAAAAATTGTCTTGAGTTGTACTCAGCATACTAAAAAGCCCAACAAATAGAATGTAAGAGCTATACTGACACACATATAGCAAGATTTTTGCAAGTTCATACAAAATGAAACAATGTACACATTAGGCTGCACAAGAGAGATGGGGAAATGTGAAAGTTAAAAAGGGTCACAATTCTTAAGTAGTGGATTTGCATCACAGTTATACAGTTACACTATTTTACAATATTGTTTTCTTTATCTTTTATAATTGACCTTTTTGCTTCCCCAAGCTCACCCTGTGGTAGGCCACACTCTCATCTTTTGCAATGCCAGGAATTCCAGGATTCCTTTTTTTAGCCAGTTGTGCTACTGCTGAGCAGTGCATTTCAGCAGTAAGTCAGAAAAGGCTTCTCTTCAGACTGTTTATGAAGGACACATTTGAGTACTTTGTTCTGACTCAATGGCTCCACTTCTTCATACATGAGAACACCACTTGCCCAGTCTAGTTGTTCTTACACATAAGTATCCATTGCAACTCTTCTTATTCTCACAGGCTTTTCTTTCTACCTTCTACTTCAATTTTATCTAAAAATTAAACCAGTTGCATCCCTACAAACACAGAAAAAAGTCTCTGTAACAATTAAAATAATTCTAATGTAGCTTAATTACTTGACAAGGGAAGCCATAACAGGTGATCTGTGCCATGAAAAAAACATCATACACTTTGTAGTTGTGTAGTATGACTCAGCACTGCATAAAGAAATGATGTGCTGTCTGAATGACTACTCTTTTTGGTGTGGTAAATACAGCCACAAACAAGAAACATAGAATCCTTGGCCTTCCAACTTCAGTGTTTGACCGACGATGCCAAAATACCAACAGCAAAGCTGCCACAGGATCACTTAGAATGTATTTTACAGTTGAAGTACATGAAAAGTATCAAATGAATGCTAGAGCAGCTCAGGTACTTACAGTGCCCTCAATCTCTGAATACAGGCCTGACCAAAAGCTGAAAGTACTTTTGTCCAGCTGATACAGACGAGATTTTTCAAACGTTTCTGAATCCATGATCTGTCCCAATTCCTGTGGTACATGTGTTGTTGTTCTATAGACCCGTCTCTGAAAAATTGAAAAAGAAACTTAGTGTCTATATCCCACATTTTTTAAGAAGGCCAAGTAAAATCTAAAAGTAACATGTTATGTTAGAAGGTTTTAGAAAAAAACCAAGCCTCATAAAATAAAAAATATCCCTAAATTCCTGTCTTCTATCAAGTTCCAAATATAAAACTGAAGCATAATTATTATAACTAGAAACCGCATTGCCTACTTATTATTTCCAATATAGTTACTATAGTTACTATATAGTTACTATAGATCACACATTTTTTCCACAAGATATGACTTACTGCACCACAATAACTAAGCAGAATTTGAAATTAAACACCACATCATCCCATGCAAACCAGGCAACTTCACCAGACAAACATATTAAGATGTGGTTGCAAAAATGAGTTGCCATTTCATTTTCAGTAGAGAACTTGGTGCTTTAAAATTTTAAAAGACTAAAAGTCCTTATTCCACCCACTGCCCTTACCTTGTTTCAATATACTTATTATAAGAGACATTTAGGTTAGAGATTAGGAGGAAATTCTTTAGTGTGAGGGTGATGAGACCCTGGCCCAGGTTGCCCAAGAAAGCTGTGGCTGCCCCATCCCTGGCAGTGTTGAAGGGCAGGTTGGATGGGGCTTGGAGCAGCCTGGGCTGGTGGGAGGTGTCCCTGCCCATGCAGGGGGTTGGAACTAGATGATCTCTAAGGTCCCTTCCAACTGAAACCAGTCTGGGATACTATGATAAAACTGATGGATATCTGTGCCTTCAAAGAACCTGTTAAAATTCAACAAATTATTCTCATGACTAGAGCAGGTCTATGATCCCTTCTCAAAGGAAACGCTCCTACCCTTTGTCACTTGGAAATACATTCTCCCTCTGGACAGATCAGCAGGCTGGTCTCACACATGTAGCTGCTCTAATGGCTCATAAGAGCACACAGCACTGCTTCTTGCCCTCCTGGCAGTCTTTTCCCCAGCTGTGCTGGGTCTTGCTGGGATGCTGTTACTTTTTTCACAAAGTCCTGCACCGGGTTCACCAGGCATTTGTGGCCAAAGCAGTGCTGGTAACACAGCAGTGTCCTGGCTAGGCAGGATGAGGGCTCTGTCTCCCTCAGTGAGCAGGCTGGGTTTGGGCAGGCAGCAGCACAGCCAGGACAGCTGACCAAAAAGATATTCCATACTGCAAAATGTCATATTCAGCAATAAAAACTGCAGCAGAGGAAGAAGGGTGGAAGGATTTGACTTCAAGGTGTCTGTTACTTGGAGAGGGGCATCAGCCTGCTTGTGGGAGGGAGAGCCACTGCCTCGGCAGCACTTGTGGGTATTTTCCCCGTTACTTCGACTCATTAGTTTTCTCGTTTTCCCTCTTCCTGCTCTCTCAGCCCTCCTGAGGAAGGAGAATGGAGCTGCTGGGTGGGTGCTGGGCTGCCAGTGACCCCCCCCCCCCGCGCTGCTCAGTCCTTTGGCTCACTGATGGAAACATGGGGGAATTCCCGCCACCCCAGGAACCCAGCGTCGTACAGGCCCTGGGCTCGTCCGAGGGAGCGCACGCGTCCTGACACGCGTGAGCAGAGGGAACAGAGCGGGACCGGGCTGTGCCCGCCACGCGGCCCCGAACCCCCGGCAGCACAGCCGGACATGGCCGCTTCTCTCACCCGCTCCCG